TGTCTTTATGTTGATGACATGCTAATAATTAGCAATAGACTTAATGGAATTTTAGAAACAAAAAGGTTTCTAACTTCCACTTTCAAGATGAAAGATCTTGGGCTTGTTGACACAATTTTAGGAATAAAAGTTAAGCAAAATAGTGGGGGTTATGAACTTAATCAAACACATTATATTGAGAAAATGCTTGATAAGTTCAAACACCTGAAATTCAAGGAAGTAACTACTCCATTTGATCATGTAATCAAACTTGAAAAGAATGATGGAAGAGCAGTGGCTCAATTAGAATATGCAAGTGCGATCGGATGTCTTATGTACTTAATGCAATGTACTAGACCCGATATATCATTTGCAGTTAGTAAAATGAGTAGATTTACTAGTAATCCAAGTAATGAACATTGGAAGGCAATCACGAGGATATTTGGTTATTTGTTGAAAACCAAAGATCTTGACCTTCATTATGGTAGGTTTCCTGCTATATTAGAAGGATATACCGATGCCAGTTGGATCTCTGACGTGGGAAATCACAAATCTACAACTGGGTGGATATTTACACTAGCTGGAGGAGCAATTTCTTGGAAGAGCAAGAAACAAACATGCATTACTCTTTCGACCATGGAATCAGAATTCGTGGCTCTCGCTTCCGCTAGTCAAGAGGCAGAGTGGTTGAGGGATCTTCTTTTGGAAGTTCCATTGGCTAAAGACAATGTTTCAAAGGTAATGATACACTGCGATAGTCAGGCCACTTTGGCAAGAGCATTTAGCGAAGTATATAATGGAAAGTCCAGGCATATAGGACTTAGACATTCGTTCGTAAGAAAACTGATTAAGGATGGAATCATTTCACTTACGTATATACGAACAAGCTATAATTTGGCTGATCCGTTTACTAAGCCACTGGCCAGAGACTTAGTAAGAACAACCTCGAGAGGTATGGGGTTGAAACTCCTTGAGTAAGAGTTCCGACAATGACGGCAACCCAATCTTAAGTTAACAGAACATTAACGTTAAGATTTTCAATGGGTAACAACAAGTCGTTGATTTGGATAATTGTCTAACATTTCATAATTATGTTGACATTAGAAATGAGGGTTGAGTTTTATCTTAAACTCTTAATGAAGTTCAATACCGAGGGTACGTATCTATTGGAAACAGATACTATATGAACTTCACCTATGTGAATTATGAGATGGTGCCGTCTCAAAGTGAGAGTTGGAGTTTCTCTCATGAAAAATTCATGAAACAGGATAGCACATGGCCATAAATAAGTGCTAAGCGAGTTATGCAGAGGAAGAATCTTTAAGGAGTGTGTGTAAGGTAACACCGGTCTATTCATATGGATTCATGGTTTAAAAGCATTGCTACCTAATATTCCGATTAAACCTTGTGTTATTCTTACTAAGGTTAAGTTTAAAATCGAAAGATACTTAACTGTATTAATACTTCTTATGTCCCATTTCTGGAATTATTATTTTGTCATTATTAGAACAAGTGGGGGATTGTTGGAAATAATAATTTATTTCCATTAAAGTTGTTCCAAAATGACAAAGTGGGTGTTATAATAAATGCTTAGTCCCACATTGGAAGAGGAGTAAAATTAAATAGCATTTATAAGGCACTTGGAACAATGTAATTTCCAAAAGAGCCAAAAAGGATAAAGTGCCACATAGTCATATGTGGTGGTGCCAAAACTTATGTCACTTGTCTCATACAAAACACCCCTCGCCGGTGTCGCCACCGGCGACACCGGCTCCGGATCCGGGGGCGTGGGCGTAGAGGCGCTAGTGGCGGCTTGTAGACGGCACTTGAGCACTTGCGGCGTTAATGAGGCGGCGCCGGCGGCGTTAATCGACATAGAAGGACTATCTAACAAATACCCATTATATCAAACTGAAGTTGTAAGTAACCTATCACAGGGTAGAGGAAAATATAATGTCGAAGGACTATCTAACAAATACCCATTATATCAAACTGAAGTTGTAAGTAACCTATCACAGGGTAGAGGAAAATATAGGTATACAATAATTTCATTCACATGAAACAGAGTAATTATTATCACTCCAAAAACAACATGAACACATGGAGTATTTGAAAACTCATAAATTCGAACAATCTTGAATAGAAAAACTAAAATAATATAGAGAAATGGAATCAAAATACAAAAAACAACCCTATGTTCTTGTTTTGCATCTATTACGTGAACGACGGATAGCTTGAAATAAAAAACGATCTAGGTCGAAGAAGCTGGGTTTTTTATTTTAAGATTTATAGTTTAGGGTCAATTTCTGTAATTTCTGAGTTTGAGAGTTTGAGATGAAGAAATCGAAGGTATTATGTTTAGGGTTTTTGATTTTGGAGGAGAGATTTATAAATTTTTTTATTAAGGCGTTTAACTTTGAACTTGGAGAGAAGAGTGAAATATTTTTAGCATAAAAAGTTTCTTTATCATGCTTGGATGATATTCTGTTTATTAACAGCTTATTTATTTTTCTATTAGAAAGTTCATACAAGAACAGCTTTAATTATAGATAATTTATTAAAATAATAAAAGTTATATAAGAAAAACTTTTATTTGTTGTTAAATAAGATGATAAGGAAACCATTCTCATTGTCATTTTTCATAATAGTTTTTAGCCGTTGTACAATATTTATAAATATATATATATATATATATATATATATATATATATATATATATATACTCTATCAGAACAAAATATAATATTCGTTGTTAGATTATACTCTACGAGAACAATTTTTTACCTTTTAAAAATTAGGCGTTGCAGTAGAGTCAAAACGTTGTAGTGAGAGAATACGTAGGCACAGGGACCTCAATTCTTGGCGAGCACCCTAATAATAAAATCAACAATTTTTTAAAATTTTTGGCAAACTTTTTCCTTTTTTATTAATCAAAGAAGATAAGTAAGCGTAGTTGACACTCAAAATCACTAATTAGACTAAGAGGTTCCCATTGAGTACAACGAATGTGAGAGAGTGTTAATACCTTCCCCTCACGTAACCGACTTCCGAATTTGGATATGGTTGCGATGACCATTTTTTATTTTTAAAAGGTTTTCTCGATATTTTTCTTTTTCTTTATTATAATAAATTAAAGTTTGGTGGCGACTCTATTCGAACACGTTTTTCTACATCCATCTCGAAGATTATATTTTTTGAAGTACGCCAAAATGATATAAACAAAATCATAAAAACTTGTGTTTTAAAAATTAAGCAACACTTTTAAAATGTTGGCTAAAGAAAAACCGTGACTAAAACTGACTTAGAAAATCGTAGTCTATTTAAAAAACAACGATTATTAAGGTGTAATTTAATCAAAATTGCGGTCTAAAATTAATTTAAAAACCATACCTTGTTCACATATTTAGACAACGCTTATAGACTTTCGTGCGCAAAAAATACAAAAACCATAACATATTGAAATAAACAACTACACACTAGGGATGGCAAACAAACCCGGACCCGCTCCACCCGCCCGGGCCCGCCCCGAAATTAACGGGGGAAATCCGATTTAATTGGGTGCGGGTGCGGGTGCGGGTGAAACCCGGTTCTTAACTACGGGTGCGGGTGCGGGTGCGGGTAGACACTAAGACCCGCCCGCACCCGCACCCGCCCCGCCCCAAATAATATATTTTATTTTGATTTCCTTATTTTATTTATTTTAATATTTATTTATTAATTATACTTTTAATTAAGTTATTAATATTCTTATTGCAATTAAAATAATAAAATTAATCAAGTTAATATTCATTTATTAATTAAAATTTTAATTAAATAATTAATTAATTTTTTAAAATAATCAATTTTTTAATTAAATTACTAATTTTTATTATAATTAAAAAAATAATAATTTTTTGCGGGTGGGGGCGGGTGCACCCGTTTTCTACTGGGGGCGGGTCTGGGTGATAAATTTTCACCCCCGATTGGATTTGGGGGCGGGGGCGGGTCTGTTACATGGAAGCGGGTGCGGGTGCGGGTATAGTTAAACCCGCCCCCGACCCGCCCCGTTGCCATCCCTACTACACACAAGTAAAATCGCCCGCTACACCTTTAGGCTACACTTTTTATACTTTAGACCGCGGTTTTCCATATTGTTTTCAAAATGTCATTTTTGTTGTAATTATTACCAAAAACAAAAAATCAATTCACACGAGTATATAATTAAACTTGTTGTACAACCGTACCTTTTGATACTTAACTTATATTATTTAAACTAATTATAAATCAATTTGATTAACTTATAATTATGCATCTTTTGATGCATAACCATGTATTATTTAATGATAATATATTATTGAATACCAATTTTAACCTTTCTATAATTACATAACACATATTTACTTTTACGTATTAATTTTACCCTTTCTAAAATTACATAACACATATTTATTTTTACGTATTAATTAAAATTACTAGCTAATTAAGTCAATGTAGACATGGGAGCTTCGAACTCAAAAAGACAATTTACATTTTCATACAATTTTATTCTTTGTTGTAATCTGAACAAGACATAAAAATAAAAATCTTGTATTTTATGGCTGATACGAATATGTTAACTAATATTTATTATAAAGGATTGATTAATGAAAAATTTAACGGATAAATAACAAGGATTTTTTTTAATTGATTTCATTGTCAGTCCTATCTATAATTAAAGCAGTTAAAACGGTCAACCTGAGATAACACGCTAGATAGTTAACACGTCTGGAGAGCTCGACGCGCTTGTCGCTTGACGGCCCTATTGAGCCAGCTTACCCTTTGAGGATTGCAAACAGCCGAGAACTATTATTTAAATAAAAGTAAATTGATTATGCACTATAGTAGTTTAATATTAAATGAAACATACTTCACACAGGGTCTTTATTGAATAAGAGATCAGGTACAGATCACACAAGCTGCTAGTAAGCAGGGTCTTATTTAAAATAGTACTTAATTCTTACAAGCTGCTGCTAGTAAGTAAGCATAGCTTGCAATAACATTATTCATACTTCTGAGACAATATTTCCAGTAGTTGTTCCAAAGTCTGATACGAATGACCATGAATGGATGTGGTAGGATTCACCGGTTAGTGTCGCAGCAGATAGACCAATCTGAACCGTGTTTGGGAGCACTGTTTTTAAATCAATGACTTGAGCAATAGTGGAAATTTTACCATTCTCATAAATAACAACAGCACTCAATGTGTTAGAAGGAGAATCATAGATGATAATTACTTTAGTCAACGAACCACTCATCAAGTTATATTTCACGGTCTTGGTCGAAATTATAGAGTTGACATCGATTCCAATATGTCTCCAATTAGGATCCCAAGAATTGGAATAAATATCAAACTCTACACCAACAAACCGATTGATTGAAGTTTGGCTATCGACTACTCCCAGAAATGGTGTGGTTGAGTTGATGGGAATCACGGTGTCTGGTGGTGCAATGAAAAAGATCAATCCATCAGTTATAGGGCTTTTTGTGGTGTCTATGATGAAAGAAAAGGAAGTGACGAAGCTGACACCATTGCCGGTAGCACTGTCCCAAAGTGGCACGAGAGTTGAAGATAAGGCGCGACCTACGGTTGGAAAATTTTGATCTGGAGGAAATGGTGAACTTTTTGTCAGTGCTATGACACCACTATCTAAAAAATGGGCATCCCCTTGGAGGGTGATATCAGAATTATCAGTGTAGAGGTTGGTGAAATTGAAGGACAGTGCTTGAACTGAGTTTATATTAGTGGCTAGCAAAACAAAGAGGATTGAAACAAGGGAGAATAGTGCATGAGTTGGAAGTTTTGTGCGATAAAAAGCCATGATTGTGTACTTTGAAGTTTTGTTACCAGGTTATGAATGAGGATACTTGGTTTCTAACATCTAAGTATTGACGAAGTTTTTATAATGTATAAAATAGATAACTTATAGATGATGTTGATAATGAAAGAAAGCAAAGAAAACAGTTTATATTTGATTTTGTTATTGAAAACTAAGGGAAATAGTTCTAGATGTTTTAAAATAATGCGTTAAAAAATGTTGGACGCCACATGATAAATACATTATAAATACTTTGTTATTTTTACATAATATACATGCTCAACATTCTATGACATATATTTCGGGCGAAATCAAAATAGTCATACAAATATTTATAATAAGATTGATAAATTGATTTTAAAAATATTTGGATCCATTGAGAAAAAATTTTGTGACAGTAATTTTAAATTTAGAAGTTGATGACTTTTGTGGTTCTTCCTCAACCGATACTCCTTATGTCTCGAATTTTGTTCAGACGAGAAGAAGAGATAATTTGTTTGTGTAGGATATATTTGAGGACCATAACCTATATATATATATATATATATATATATATATATATATATATATATATATATATATATATATATATATATATATATATATATATATATATATATATATATATATATATATATATATATATATATATATATATATATATATATATATATATATATATATATATATATATATATATATATATATATATATATATATATATATATATATATATATATATATATATATATATATATATATATATATATATATATATTGTGTGTGATGGCCAATTAGGGTTCCAATTATTTTCAATGGTCATCCTGACATCTGCTCATATTTGAGTCCACACCAAGTTATTTAATCAATTAATTAAATAATTCCTAAATAAAATCTAAATAATCTTTTAACATTATTTGATCACATAATTTATTTAATGCACTTTATTTGATAAAATAGCTAATATAATTAAATAAATATATTTTTCCACATAATTATTGAAATAATAATATTATATTAAATTATTAAAATATTCCAACAATCTTTCACTTGGTCAATATATCGTAATAGGTTATATCATAATTCTTTAAGTGCGCATCCGAATGCTATTTATCTTTAGATTTCAACTTTACAATCTAATCCACCTCATTCTTCAATAATGGGACCATCGCGGCTGTCGTCACTAACGTATAACGTAACATAACCCCGACAACCACCACATCATTGTACTTGATGACATAGATCGATATGGATGAGTGACATGAAAATTTCATGTAATGTGATCTCTGAATCATGCATATTTTCAACTGGTCCTACTGGAGTCTTTAGTGAGATCAAACTGAAATTCCTTAGGTGCAATTTAAAATCACAATATTTGCATATAACAAAAAAAAGACATTTTTATAACAATAGTACCTCATAGGTTTTTATTTCTGCAGAAAATTAATCATAACATAAAATTTGTACTAAAATAAAACCAAGCATAGAGCATAGAAAATAAAAAACTCCCACTAATCTAAGGCAATCTTAAAACCAAGATCCATATGAGCAACATGCCCATGAAAAGTCTTAGGTGTTAAACCTTTGGTTAGTGAATCAGCTAACATTAAGTTTGTTGTTATATGTTCTATCAAATTTTGTTTCTTCTGAACTCTTTCTTTCACGACAAGATACTTAATATCGATAAATTTCGATTTTGTAGAACTCATATTGTTGTTGGAGTAGAGCACAATTATATTATTGTCACAATAACTCTTCAAGGCCTTTCAATTCTCCCAGCGATGTATAGTCTTGTGACAAAGTTCCACAGCCAAATATCATGAATTGATGTCTCAAAGAAAGCCACAAACTCTGCTACCACGGCGGAGGCAGCCACTAAAGTCTATTTGGAAGACTTCCAGGGGACGAATCCTCCAGCCAAGAGAAAGATGTAACTAGATGTGGAACGTCTAAATCTGAGTCAGAATATCGAATGATCTCCAAGTTATCTGACTTCTGATAAGTGAGCATGAAGTCTCTTATTCTCTTCACGTAGCGCAGTACATGTTTTACTATTATGCAGTGCTGCATACTAGGGTTGCTTACATATCTGTCAAGAATTCCTACAATGAATGCTAAGTCGGGACGGGTGCAAACTTAAGTATAAATAAGACTTCTCACTGCTGAAGCATATGAAACCTTATGTATCTCTTCCTTTTCAAGATCTGTATTGGGGCGCTATTTGAGACAAAACTTGTCTCCTTTAGCAACAGGTGTGTCTCCTGCTTTACTATCTTTCATGGAGAACTACAAAAAACACAAAAAACACATACAACAATGGTTAAAAAAGATATATTATCCAGCAGGACCGGTCGTTGTTACGTAGCATGTGGTTGTATATGCGTTACTTACAATCACAGTCGTATGACCGTTGTAGAAAACTAAAAAACTTTAAATACCCGTTGTTAAAGGTCTGTCAGCATTTTTTTTGCCACGTGTTTTTCCTGACTACATTTATAACTTTCATCATAATATACAACTAGTGTACAAACGGATATTACACACGAAAAAATATAATTGATATTTTTTTATTTAATGTTAATTTTAAATGGAAGTTATGTAGGAAGTTATTAGTAAGAAGTTATGTAAAAGATGATAGTAGTGGTTTAATAAAAATTATTGTGTAAGTTACACATTTTAAAATAAGGGTAAAATTGGCACACAAAAAATAGGCTACACCAAAAGTTAAGTTTTGTCTTTATATATGTTATAGATTATAAATATTAGCATAAGGTGAACACTCGTGTGCCCGTTTGTCCGCCTTTTTAATACACAAAAAAAAATATAAATGATATTTTTTTTATTTAATGTTAATTTTAAATAGAAGTTATTGTGTAAGTTACACATTTTAAAATAAGGGTATTGACAGAAAAATAGGCTTAATCAAAAATCAAGTTTTGTCTTTATATATGTTATAGATATTAAATATTTTAACACAACAACAACAACAAAATTAACAAGAATAATAAGAACAATAACAAGAACAACAAGAACAACAAGAACAACAAGAACAACAAGAATAATAACAACAAGAACACCAAGAACAACAAAAACAACAACAAGAATGACAAGAACAACAAGAACAACAAGAAAAACAAGAACAATAAGAATAAAAATAAGAATAACAACAAGAACAACAAGGAAAATAACAAGAACAACAAGAATAAAAGCAATAACAAGAACAACAACGATAACAAGAACTACAAGAATAACAAGAACAATAACAAGAGCAATAACAACAATAACAACAACAAGAACAAAAACAAGAATAATAACAAGAACAACAAGAACAATAACAAGAACAATAAGAACAATAAGAACAAAAATAAGAATAGCAACAAGAACAACAAGAGCAACAAAAAGAACAACAAAAACAACAATAAAAATAAATAAATTGAATCGTTAAACATAAACAAAATGTAACACGTTAATGGAAGCAATGTTTTTGAGTTTTGTTTGTGGAAGAAATGATGTTTTCAAGTTTGGTTTAGTGGATGAATAATATTTCGTAATTGGAATAAGTTTGGAGGCAGAAGACGAAGTTTGTCTAAGTACATCTAGGGCAAACGTGAATGAATTAAGAGCGTTGTATATATCTTTAAAAAAAAGGTGCCACCTATAACCACGATTGATTTAAATACCCGTGGTGAAAGGCTTGTCACTTATAACCACGGTTGATTTAAATACACATGGTGAAAGGTTTGTCAGCATTTTAAAAAAATAAGTAAATAACCAAAAATGTTGGTGCTAGGATTTGAACCCTTGACCATACGTCACTTTTCATCATGAGTATTAAATCAACCATGGTTATAGGTGGTTAAATAAAATAAAATAAATGCATGGGCCTAAATATCACATATTACAACGGTTGATTGAATATCCGTAGTAACGCGAGCGTTATTATATGTGTTTTCAGTAGTAGTGTCATCTACATATAGTACCAAGAAAATGAATTTACTCCCACTAAAATTTTGGTATACACAGTTATCAACCAGATTAGCCTTAAAACCAAATGAGGATATTACTTGATGAAATCTGTAATACCATTGACGGGAAGCCTGTTTAAGACCATAGATGGATTTCTTGAGTTTGCAACTGACACAAAGTTTTCTGGTTGCACCATATACATTGTCTCTTCAATGTTTCCATTTAGAAATGTAGTCTTTACATCCATCTGATGCAACTCTAAATCAAAATGAGCTACCAATGCCATCATGATCCTAAGATATTCCTTCAAAGAAACTGGAGAGAAAGTCTCTTTATAATTAATTCTTTCCTTTTGAGTAAAGCCTTTTGCGACAAAACGAGCTTTATATCTCTCAATGTTACCCTTTAAATCCCTTTTGATTTTAAATATCCATTTACAACCAATGGGTTTCATTCATTCAAGTAATTTAACGAGATCCCAAACATCATTTTCAGCCATCGACTTCATCTCATCAACCCACTTAAGAGAGTTTGGACTCCGCATAGCTTGACTAAAGTTGATAGGATCTTCCTCAGTCAGACTAATGTCATCCTCATGTTCCTGAAGAAATATAACAAAATCATCTGAAATTGCACTATTCCTCTCTTTAGTGGATCTTCTTAATGGTGGCTCTTGAGGTTGTTGAGTTTGAACTATAAGTGGTGTTTGAGGAAGAAACTCAATATTGTCTTGTTCTTGAGGGATGTTAGGAATAATATCATTGTTTATTTCAAGATCTATTTCTGGAACAAAGATAAGTATAAAGACTTGACCATTGTGAGAAATAATTTCTTCATCAAAGACAACACTCCTTATGCTTCCTTCCCCTCCAAACTCTACATCCTCAAGGAATCTTGTATTGTTCTAGTGATGAGATTGTAAAACTTGTACCCTCAAGAGTGTTCAACATATCAAAGAAAATAACGACTAAATTTCTTTGCATCCAACTTATAATTAAAAAAATTGAACAAATTAAGCATAAAATTGATACATATAA